GTATTTGTTTTATTTGTTTTTATTTTATTTTATTTTAGCATTTTCTATGAATTACACCAGCTGCTGGCTTTTTGATTATAGGCTGGGCGATTTGGCAAAAAAAATAAAATATTGATTTTTTTTCAGAACGTTTCACCGATTCTCGATTTTTTTTTACAATTTGTAACTAGTTAACTTTAAAATGTAACTACAACATGATTCAAGTAACTTTTTCTTTATTAACCCTCTAGTTAAAGAAAATCCTATTCTAAGTGCAGCACACATGAAGTTGTCAACATGATGTAGCTGTTAAACAAATCACTTATCAAATATCTTTGCAGAAAAGATGCATGAACTACAATTACATCCTGTACAAACTTGTCTTATAGCCTACATGTTATATGTTCAGAAATAATAGGCTACAATGAAAATGCAAAAAAACAGTCAATGTAATTCAAATTCAAAATGACTGCTTTTATACATAGAATCCGAAAATTGTACATTTCTAAACTGCACACTTGTAAATATATCTGTACATTCATTTAAACAGTTACATTTCTCTATATTTCTACTTCTGTATATAATGCATTATTTAATTTTCAGTTTTTCTTATATTAGTGTTATACTCCATCTCTACTGTGTAATTCCTATGTCTGCTGCACTAGTTTGCACTATGTCCATACTTTCTTCTGCACTGGAAGCTCCTGTCACGAAGTCAAATTCCTTGTGTGTGTAAGCATACTTGTTAATAAAGCTCTTTCTGACTTCTGAAGGTATAACACCAGTAGACTATTAACAATGAATGTTCTGTGAAAACAACGAACTGCAGCTTTCAGACTGTCACCATGATGCAAACATGAAATATTAGACAGACATACAGTAGTAGTTCTTTACAGGTTTTTTATTCGATTGCACTGCTTTTCCATTGTTTTTTCTATGTAAACATGGACGCGTTTGACTGTTGCACTAGCATCTCTTGCAGCATCTCACGCATGAAATGGCATTATAAAAACGCAGCGCTCAAATTAAAAGAAGTTCACTCACATCTTCTTGCATGTTTTTTCTATTCCACTCTCCATGTTGCATCTTTGTCAACACAAAACAAAAGTGCATTCTGTGTGAACGGCGCCTCGCGATAGGAGCGTGTCACACGTGTGCCGACATGCGGTTGGATAGTTCTTTTCTCTTTACTGTTATCATTGGCATATTGTCAAAGTGTCTAATTGTAACATTTGGTAATATTTCTATTCAAAATCGCGGCAAAACATTAAATTCAAATTAATTGATTTAATCAGAAAAATCACCCAGCCCTAACTCGGAGTAATCGAGATGCATTTTACTTAGTTTCTATTTAAATGTTACACAAGCAGACCAAATCAAAACATAACAGATTTGCAAGTTTTTAATTTTATTTTCTCAAAATACATGAAAAACAAAAAGCTGAAAATCATCCTAACAGTAAATAACCAAAACATCCATCAACGTAATAAAAGCACATCATACACAAACCCATTACGCAACACCCTCTGGTCTGTCATAAATATGAAATGAAAGCCAATGGAAGGTTCATTAGATTTTACAAGAATTTGTGGTAATCCGAGTCACTCGAGTGAACCAACGTTTTTTGAACCGCAGACATTAGTCATCATAAAACGCAAATGGGCAATAAAACTCTTAGATCGACTGTAAAACCAGTGTAGATATTTGGCCGAGTCTTCTGTGGATATCGGGATAATAAACACGGCACCGTAGCTTTATCGATCAGGTCGCACCATACCGGGTCTAATGGCCATCATTGGCCGAGCGGGAGGTCGCATCATGTGTGGCCCGGGCATCATTTGCATAGGTCCACCCATTGGTGGCCGCATACCTGGACCTGAAAGAGAGCCAGATGAATGTGATAGTCAATTCAGATTGCCATTAATAAAAATCCCTCACATTAACGTAGTTATATTTACAGATAAACAGCCTTACCAGGCATCATGCCATGAGGAGGGGGACCCATCATGGGGATCATAGGAGGACCACCCATGGGTGGAGCTGGTAACATGCCCGGTCTCGGAGGTCCGCCTGCGAGAAAAAACATGTTATTCCTTGTAAATTATATGTTAATAATATAATGTAATCAAATCAGTAGTTAGTTTGCTTCCGTAGTTATGGAAGCAAAATAGCTCAAAATCTTAAAAAAAAAAACAGTGCATGAAAAATGCTTTTGCCTGTAGTCTCGCCATATATAAGCATAAAGTTAACTCAGAAATTGTTATATGCTTTGCAGCTGCCTTGAAAGGAAGTGAACATTTCAGAACTTTGCAACGTACTAATATTTGGATGTGGTAGCAGAGATCCACCAGGTGGAGGGGCTCCTGGGAATGGGGTGGGTGGAATTTTACCCTGCTGGAAAGCGGCCGCTGAAACAGACAAAAATTACTTTTAGACTGGAACACTCATCTTTTAAAAGATCAAGAAATTAGTCAAAATAGTTTATAGAACTAGAACTCTTAAAACAGAAGAGTAAAATAGAACTCTTTAGTATATCTTGCAATTCTGACAATATCAGAATTGCAAGGAAAAAAGTCAGAATTATGAAGGTCACAACTAATTACCTTTTTTTTTAAAAAATCAATTACCTTTTTTAACTATGTGGCAGAAACAGATATTCACATAGATCAGACATAAGGTCTTAACATGGAAGAGCATGTTGTTCACTCACTTGTTTTGTCGATGAGATTCTGAGCCTGCTCCTCCATCCATTTCTGATAATAATCTTTCACATTTTCTTTATGTTTTCGTCCGCTGCAGTGTGTCTTTCTGACTGATGGCTGCAGAGATTAAACATACAAATAATGAACATTTCAACAGATAATAACGTCATGTTATACAGGCCAGATTACCATCAGATTCTAGGAAAAGTGGTAATCTTACCGAATCGTGTGTCAGGTATGTGTCACAATAATCACAGTAAAACCTGACAGAGACAAAAACACAAGCGTTAGACAAAAACAACCCACCCTTGGTTAAAAATACCAGGTGCTACAGTACAGTGATGGTACGGATAATAATACCATAGTAAAGAACTGTCACTTTAAAAATCTAACGACGTACCATAATTTAGTACTATAGTCTTCTTTAAGTAATTACGGGCTTCATATAAATAGCATAGTATGACCATGGCATTGAATTCACGTACAACTTTATTTACATGGTACTCTTTTGTTCGTTTTGTTCTCGCACAATTTTTACTGTTAAAAACGGATTGCAAAAGATGGCATTTAAAGCAGTGAGCTGCATATAAATATAATAACTAATACACTAAATTGACAACCCACCCTTGGTTAAAAATACCAGGTGCTACAGTACAGTGATGGTACGGATAATAATACCATAGTAAAGAACTGTCACTTTAAAAATCTAACGACGTACCATAATTTAGTACTATAGTCTTCTTTAAGTAATTACGGGCTTCATATAAATAGCATAGTATGACCATGGCATTGAATTCACGTACAACTGTATTTACATGGTACTCTTTTGTTCGTTTTGTTCTCGCACAATTTTTACTGTTAAAAACTGATTGCAAAAGATGGCATTTAAAGCAGTGAGCTGCATATAAATATAATAACTAATACACTAAATTGAAAAAAACCTTTTAACTCTTTAACCCATTTAAATGCTGGATTAGCTTGAAGAGCTACTAGCTCTTGTCTGAGAAACGCGGTTGTATTCGAAACGTGGTTTTCTAAAATGCCTAAAGGTATAACATATATATTAATGAACCCTTCGCGACTAAAGCCTGCTGGTCTGTTTTGTACATATCGTATTATTGTATAAAATAAACATAAAGAGAGACTCACTTCGGCATCTTCACAGCGGAACAGCGCGGGGCGAAAACCACCGGAAGTAGAATATGAAAATGCTTTTACGTCTTTGTTTGGGTTTGGAGCGAACACGCGCGCGCACTGGCGCCACTCCGTGTTTGGGAGGGAACCTGTCTCCGTTTACCACTGCATGCATGTGGTCTCATTTGACCCCAAAATCAAAAGACATTTATTATGGTGACAGTTAAGCACATTTCCTCTAACATATTTAAATGTAATACCTCCTGGAGTATAAAATATTCTCATACCTGTACAATGACAATAAAGAGCTCTGACCTTAATATTATTAATATTTGTTTATAACACAGAATCACTCAACAATAATGAAAATTACATTAATTCACTTTGGTCCTAAAAGCCTTAAATTTTAGTACCAAAAAAAAAACTTTGTCTACTTTTTGAGAATAGCGAATACTTATTTAAACAAAAAGTCACTTTGCAGAATATAGTTTTATTCTGACAAATCATTTGAGAAAATAACATCTTGACAAGCGATGCTTTATGCCACAACATGTGTGAGAAACCATGCAGCTGCCATGAGATGTTTAACTGTGCAGCTTTAATGTTTCATGTTGTTCGGTCATTCAAAGCTACAAAGTCCCACCAAAAGCAAAACCATTGATAAAGGGTCTGCAACACAGCACAATGTCAAACAGGTTGCAACACCTTTCGCAGTTTTACTATCTTATATTTTGAGCCTGAAGCATGACAGTTAATATGAAGCCTTTCTATAATATTTTTTAGTAGTCAGTATTATGTGGTCTGAACGTGTTTGAGAAACAGGATGTTGCAAAGTTAACAGAAAGAATACACTTTTTAAGAAGCCAAAACTCACACTTCAGTTCTGACAAACTGAGATCATACATTTGATATTGCGGTTTCTGATTTATTGCAGAATAAGTGAAAAATCTAGTTGATTTGATTTACCTCATATCTTCACAAAAAGTTTAAGGTTCATATATCACTCAAATACTCATTGCAAACAAATCTTGAAAGAGATACTGATCGTATCTGATGGGCATGTGGGACAAAATGCAAAATACATGACACATTATTAGCAACCCATTTTACTTCCTTAATGTGATATATCTGAGAGAAATAGGATATTCAATGACAAAAAAAACCTTAGTAGGCAGTAACTTTTCACTTTGTCTTTTGGAATAACATGCTCAACAAGAACATGAAATCAAGAAAGCAAATAGGGTCAGTTTTGATTTCATGTTGACTGAAACTCGTTTAATAAACTACATCTAAGGTCAATGAAATTCTGCCATTGGTATTTGTAAAAGGATGACTTGATAAAACAGGAAAACCGCTTAATATCTTATTTCTTTCCAAAGCAACAGGAACCATTATCCAAGTATTCAGAAATACATAGCATTTTATTTAGATTAAGATTTACACATGATGCTTTCGGTGCTTTTAAAACAGACCATCACTTTCATATTTTCAGTAGCCATCCATGAATGATAAAGTGTTGGTCCTAAATAAGAATAATTACAATAGTAATTTTGAAATGATGCGAATGTCATCATAAGGTTGATTGAGGGAGGATTATCATGCGATGCAGCATGAAACTCGTGTGGACCATCTCAACGTCATCCGGATTAAATACAGTGATGTGACCAAAACATCACAGAACATCCAAGTCACTTCTGCTCAATCTCTCAGAAAACCACAGCAGCATCTGTCAACACACCAGTCCTGCTGATGCGCAACCTCATACACACCAGCTGTGGCACATCTGTCTCTAAACAGTCCTCATAGGTTGGATTTGGGTGCTGTGTTGACAGGGATGGCTCTGAGCTCTGTCCGCATGCACAAGTACTCGCCGATGACTGCCATGAGGGCCATGCAGGCCACGTTAATCAACCACCATGACAGGGCGGCTGTGAGATGGGCGTTATAGATCCAGCAGCAGATCATGTGAAAGAAATGCACCGTCACGGTGAAGTCCAGACACTGCTTTCCCCGTCGGATGAAAAACCACAGGCCAAGAGCGCTGAGAAAGAGACACGGAGCCAAGAATGACTTCAGATGGCAGATAAAAGTGAGATAAATGTTTGGAATAGGACGGTATTAATATAAACTTACCATGTGAGAGAATTCAGAATGAACGCCATCATAGACAAGCGACCTTGTGTTGTTGAAAAGCCAAGAACCTTGACAGAAAGTAAACTAGTTATTTGTAGTTCTGGGTTGACAACATCAATTTTATTCATCTTCCTTTTGATGAACTCTATTTGGACAGTTACCTCGTAACTGAATATCTGGTCGAGTGATCTACTGGTATGGACCAAACCATCAACACCAGCCAACCACAGACCCAAGAAGCTGTAATAGATGCACTGCATGAGAATAATCTGGGAGATGATGAGGATTGGATCCCAGATGTAGCTGCGAAAATGACTGCCCATCTCGCAAGAGATGAGGGGGACAAACACACGTCCCCAAACCGGCTCGATGGGAAGGTTAACAGCAGACTCAAGATTTGAGTCTCAACCTGGCAATGGCAAAATAATAACAGTGCAGGGTTCAGTTGGTTTGTCAGTCCACCAGCAGGTGTGTCATGTAAATATCATGGTAACTTATCTCAAAGTACCATGGTAGATATCCATTATTTGTTAATAACCGCGAAAACGTAGATATGCTAAGTATACCAACACAACACAGACTAAATAACTACCGCTGTTCAGTATTATTAGACAACATACGCACTAATTAGCATTCACACATTCTAAAGTCAGGAATAGTAATGTGTTATCTTATGTATTTTACAATTACAGACAAATTAAAAACAATGTCAACGTTATGTCATTTTATACAAGTAAACAAGCATATAAATGTAAAATACCGCGGCGAACGGGCTGTTCGTTAGCATTCGTTAGCTAAACATCGCTAACTAGCGACTTTGTTGACATCCGTCTGTGAGAATTATAATTCTGTGAAAACACGAACCCCGAATAAGACACATCCGTAGTGTGATCCTGAGGTCAGTGAGGCCGCTGACAGATCGAGATTATAGAAACGTAACGCTTTATTTTAAGGCTAATAATATTATCTTCTACCGGATGCGAAACTTGGAGCCGCTGTTGAGAGCGTGACGTCATCACCTGTGTGTCCCGCGCGCGCCGCAGATTCGACACTTCAAACTTCACCGATCACCTCAAAACAGTTAATCCCGCTCGTACTCTTCCATTGAAATAGTTGGTCAATTTATTACATTTTAAGTATGCTAGAAGCACCTTGAGCCGTAATTTATGCCATGAATTGATATTATTATTATTCGATTTCTCCTTATTTCACGTACCAAATTCACGTATCTTATCATTTCATAGTCTGTGGAACGTAATCTAAGGCCTTCTTTCATAATGCAGTGTCATAATTCAGTATTATTTAAAATTAGAAAATGAAAGTTTTAATTTTAGCTTGAAAAAGCCTTGTCAGGAAGTTGAAAAGTTAATATAAAGCTGAAAAGTACATACAAGATGTAAAACAGTTGTTGCGTGGTTGCTAAGGTGTTATGAGTGGTTGCTAGGTTGTTGCTTAGGTGTTTTCGTTGGTTGCTACTAGGCTGCTACAAAACATTTGCTAATGTGAGCTTCATGGTTTCTCAGGGGTTCTGAGTGGTTGCTAGGCTGTATATAGTTTGATATTTATCAAGCCAAAATAATTAACCACTTCAAGATTTCATAATAAAGATATATTGTATTGATGTGTTTCTGCCAGTGACACTGCGGTTTATTTTTTATAGATTTTTTTAACCTGCTTATTAACTGGCATGGTGAAGGTTCACAGTTACTATCTGTTACTTATTTGTGGTAATTTGGTCAGTGTGCCTGTAACATCTCACATTTGACTAGAGCTTCCACTTATTTCGCTCATCTCTGGAATTGTCAGTCTCGCTGTGGTCAATCAGTTGGTTTGTCGCCTGAATGACAAACAAGACATGTTGAGCCTGAGAACCAAAAAAAGGTAGGCTACATTCTTTTTCTTCTTGATGCTTTCCTAGTTTGTATGCAGTTTATTGGAAAATTGGGACATTGTTATTGGTTAACTGGAACAGTCATTCTTATTCCAAGTCATATTGAATGCAAATTCTTATTGTTTCTTTACTATTATAAATATACAGTATCTAACCTTATAGTTCAGGCTGTGCGTTATTTGAATTTTTCTATGCAGTTATGAGTAGAGGTCGACCACAAGCGCCACAGTTAGTGGATTTCACCGATACCTATAGCTAGGTTGGTCCACACTGGATACCGATTAATCAACCAATAGTTTTTAAAATGGATACTGAACGAAAACTAAAATAGTGTTTTACTATTTAAAAAAAAAAAGAACCATAATTTTTAAATGAATCAAATATTAATATGAATTATTAAATTGATAATTAACGTTCATAGTTTATTAACTAATGTTAACAGAAGAAACTAAATTTTAAAAATGTAATGGTAGCCTAAATGCTGAAATTAACTAACTCTAACTAGGAACAATACTTATACAGCTTTCATTAATATTAATGTTACAAATGGACTCTTATTGTAAAGTATTACCATTTCATATCAACAGTCATGCTTAAAGATGGCCATCTTTAATTATCTACACAAAGGCCATACTGTAGCACTGAAATTACATACATATGGGTATTGTATGTATACTCTCACACTTTATTTGCTTCTATTTTAGAACACTTGATTATCTAATCAAAATAACAAAATATGGGTCACACACCAGGGAAAAGCGCAGCGTCGTGTCCAATACAAACTCGAGTCGCAGGTTATCATACACACCCGACGCATCGCATTCACTTCAAGCGGCGGTCTAAAACAGTTTATTTAATCACTAAATGGACAAAAGTTCACTTCAAGAATGAACAATGCGGCATAGATGAGTTTGCAGTTCGGTGTTTAAAAACAGAGCCAACAGAAAGTTTTTGTATATATAACCTTAAGACTAACATATTGATACTAACACCCAAAAAACAAATTTTGATTTCATGGGGACTTTAAATGGGTACTGCAGTCTATATTCAAAATGTTGTTTCTCCCGCTTCCTCTTCCTCAGGGTTGCCAGATTGAGGACACGCAAGAGGAACGAGCACAATAAACAAGGAAAGGCGACGAGCCTTACGATGTAAGCTTATGAGTTGATTTATCCGCATTTTAATAATCCTCTGGTCATAGAGATTTTTTGATGGATTTCAAGGCTTTTTAGGTCGGGTAGAATCTGCAATTTCTGACCTAGTTCGTTTGTTGGCTTCCATGGCTGCAATGCGCTGTGTTTTCCGGTGTCTGGCAACCCAGTGTGTCTAAATACTATTGGTTAAACTGGCAGTGGGTGTAGTCACACAGACCAAAACAAAAACAGACATCCTGACACAAAACGCACATTTTCAAATGAGAATAACTGTCTGTAGCATTATTTTTTTGGAGAAACAAGTATGTGAACTTAGCATGTTTCCTAAATATCTGCAAATGTATTATAGCATTTTATGCTTTGGTACAGTCAAAATTACATACAGCACCTTCAATAAATGCAAAATCTTCACTGCTTGATATCGGGGCATAGAGGAGAAACAATAATGTACAGTATGTGGAAAATAATGTATTTTTTTAACCTTAAACCGCATAAACACATTTCATTACACCAAATACACAAAATAATGTTATTTTTAGCTGCATCATATGACCCCTTTAATTGAAGAAGTTACACTCACAACCTATACATAAACAATGTCCAGCGTTTTCTTATGGTGTAGAAATGCATAACATGAATCTCCTGATGTTTATGTGCAACCAAATCCAAGCCATGAGCTGAAAAACGTACTGTAATGAATATTGGTTTTGTTCCTTGGTGGAAAATTGAAACCTGAAGCATTAGGGCTGTAATGAATATTGGTTTGTTCTGCTTATTGGTGGGAAATTGGTTGTTAATTTCTGTTAAATTGTCCCATTTTACTCTGTTCACTAGTTGCTTGCTGTGCATTTCAAAAGTGTAACAAATCATCCAGTACTCATTCTTAGCCACATCAGGCTACAAAATATTTTTATTACATTCAAAAGAGAGATCTTTGAAGCTGCAGAGTTTTTAGTATCTATAGTATCTATCCATAGTTGATTCCACAGTAAATTCACTATACAGTTACACTGCTTTTACATTCAGTATTTCAGCACAAAAAAAAAACATCATATTGACCGTATTCCAACTTAAACAGGTGTGGTATAGCATTGGGCTTTGAATATTTAATTCTAGTCATTGTCATTCTGTCCAGTGCAAACACACCTTGCTATGCAAATAAAGCCTATTATTGAATGTTCACAAAACTTGCTATCTTCTTGACGCAATTACGCTGGAAAAGTGATGTTTGTGTATATTTTCGAGACATCGTGGCAGCAGTAATTCATCAAATGATGGAGAAGAGCATTATAACCAGGCATATTTCCAGACACACAGTGTAGACAAGTGCTCTTTCTGCATTTTAAAGAGCTGATTTAGGTGCATGAACTGCAGTAATGCCAGATTGCCATTGTTCGCTGCATCCTCCACAATGTAGAGCGCAGAATCAGAATGGAAAATGGAGAAATGCATTGCATGTTCTGCACTACTTTTGGGTATATTTGTGCTGTTTCCTGATTTGCATAGTTCTCTCAGCCAGTCAGTTGCAACGGTCCCAGACAATGTGTGAAAGTCTGTTCCATATTTGCAACACCTCCGGGCAGCTATTTCAGGCATCCAAGACCAAGTCTGAAAAGAGAACTTGAATGGGGAAATCAACTAAATCTGACATGAACGGTCCCATAAATGTGGTTTCTTATGCTCAAATAGTGTTAAAAATGTTTTATTTCATGCTAAACCAGCCAATGCGCATATGCAGTCCTAAGTGCGCCTCTCAAAACACTAACTGTTTCTATTACAACTGGAGCTCCTAATAGCAGCTGCAGCGATGCAATGACTTTACTAATTGCCGATTGGCTCTTTTATTTAGAAGGCGGGGCTTATTCTGCCATATTGCACGTTGCATCTCCATCTTTGTATATTTAAAGACTTTGATTCCCCTTAGACTCAGTTGCTACTGAACTTGGGTTTTCTCTGTGATCGGTCCAGGACTGTGCTGTCCCGGGACGGCTGATGGGGTTTTACAGAGCACAAATCGCTGGATGATATGAATCAGCGTATCACGGAAGCGCTGGATGCGGAAAGCGTACACCAGCGGGTTGAGCGCGGAGTTGACGTGTGACATAAAGATACCCACGTAAACAGCACTCTTGGGCACATTGCATGTCGGGCAATAAAACACAATACAGTTCATAATATGCAGTGGCAGCCAGCAGAGCGCAAACAGAAACAGAACTAGCGCTAACGATTTCGCAAGTTTCAGCTCTTTGCGGTAGTACTTGCTCGAGTCGCAGGTGGCCTCGGCTCGACGGTTGAGCTGGCGGCAGATCACGCGAAAGATCTCTGCGTACAGTCCGGTCATGATGATCAGGGGCACCACCACCCAAATGAAGAAGTTGAAGTAGACCATGTAATCCATGCGCATGACTTTGGTGAACTGGCATTTGATGGGCGTCGTGCTGACGTTTCCGGGTGGGCTGAGGTGCCAGCCGGCCATCGGAACTAAACCAGTCAGAAACGAAATGAGCCAGCACAAACCCACGGCTACCCACGCCCGCCTCTGCGTAACAATGATGTTGTACCTGTCAAAACAATGCAAAAGCAATGACATAAATTACTTTTTAAATCCAATCATAACCACAAATGATATTGCAGGTGTTGTTCTATATAATGCACACTTCTAATGTTAGAAATATCATGCATTAGCACATTTCGAATAGTCTTAGTTCACCCAAACAGTTGACGGTAGCCATTGACTTCCATAGTTTGGAAAAAAAATACCATGGAACTCAGTGGTTACCAACATTCTTCAAAATAGCTTCTTTTATGTTCAAAAGAAGAAAGAAACTCGTAGAGGTTTGGAACAACTTGAGGGCAAATATATGATGACAGAATTGTCATTTTTGGGTGAACTATCCCTTTTTTTAACAAGTAGGCTACTATAGTCCTAAGCAACTAAATTTTTTTCATTGTCTGAATGGGATGGTGTATTCCTCAAAACACTGACTG